TATTTCTTATATTTCGACTTCATACTTTTCTACTGGATGGTTAAGACCAAGGTAAAGCAGGACCTATGCAACAAGAGTTGTAGCTTTTTGGTCTGAGTAGAACCCTCATTTCTAATGCTCTGTGCAACTCGAGAGCTTTGGCCCGTCACCTCCTCTCCTTCGGGAAGTCCCTCCTCCTAGTGGCTCTTTCTGCCATTGCTGCCTCTTTCTCTCTGGTAAACTGTGTTCAAAGTCCAAGTCATGGCCCTGGGGATATAGCTCAGTCGTACCATGCCTCCCTGGCAAGCCGGAGGTCTTGAGTTCAATTCCTGATGACAAAAATAAAAATAAGCGGGGCTGCGGAGATGGCTCAGTGGTCTAAAGCACCTACTTGGAACAAGCTTGGCAAAGCACAGGGACCGCGGTTCGATCCCCCAGCACCGCATGCCAGCCGGCCCCGCCCCTTGGTGGGCTGAGCTGGCCACACACACACACACACACACACAATAAACAAATGTAAAAAAAAATTTAAAAATAAATAAAATAAAAATAAGCAAAGCCTGAGTCATTCTCCACTTCTCTCCTGAATCCCTCAGATCAAGTCCTGCCGACTCTCTTCCTGTGTCTAATGGTTTTCCACTCCCATCCCCAGTTCACCTTCCCTACACGGACTCCTCTCCTAGTTGCTACTCTCTCCACTAAGGGATGCCTGCGGTGGGCCTTACCCATTGCAGGGCTGTTTCCTTTGACAAGAGTTAACTTCCCTACTACATGAAACCCCACGAGGGCAGAATCCAGATTCGATCTCTGCGACACAGTGTACACTTTAGGTTTTATACCTGCAGCCCCGATGGAGATTAGTAAAACGCATGAACGCAAACACTGAGACGGTGCAGATACACCTTGGGAAAGACACATTCATGGAAAAAGAACAAATTTATCTCAGCCGAAAATTCTACACATCCTAGGGGAACTGGTGTCTTCAAAAGACGTGTCTGAGAGCACGGTGTCCCTGAGAATGCACAGGCGCATTCCTGGAGACAGGCGGCGATCCCAGGGACATCCAGGACTTGGCTAGGCGTGAGCTCAGGAGACAGACATGCCCGCAGAAGGAAAGGCTCTTAGGCAAGCGCAGGGACTGTGGTTGGATCCTGGGCACCACATGCCCCGCCGGTCCCGCCCCCAGGCCCGCTGAGCCATTGAGTCCGGGTGTGGTGGTGCGCGCCTGGAAACCCAGTGCTGGGGAGGCTGAAAACAGGAGGACACTACCAGTCCAAACTGTGTAGCAAGACTCTGTACCAGATACATTACAAAAAATAAATAAATAAATCTGCAGGGGGCTGGGGAGATAGCTCAGTAGAATAAGCGCTTGCCTGGGAAGCGCAAAGGCCTGAGTTCAATCCCTCTGGTTCCGTCAAAAAAAATCTGCAAGTATTCTTGATGTCCTGCCAGATGTGTCCTGGGGAGGGCTGGACATGAATGACCTCTGGTGAGAACTGGCCCTCATTGTATAGGAAAAACTGTCCATAGCCCGAAGAGGTCAGCTGCAGGGAAGTCCCTAGATGCAGAGAGTTGGAAGGGTCCAGGGAAGAGTCCTGGTCACTATGGAGATGAGCTCTCTGATCCCCGGCCAAGTGCTGCTCAGCCTTGAGGCTCTTTCCTGCTGGCTTGCATCGTCTGGTTGTTGGCCCTAGTGGACGCCAGGGGGCAGTGTGTGGCCAGCCTGTAGGCTACCGGGCGCTGGACAATGTAGGATGAAGGCCAGGGACCTGGAGGGGGTGTGGCAGGCCTCGTCCTCCACTGCCTCTGGCCTCCATCCTGAGGTCCTTAGGAATGATTACTGCTGCTAGACAGCTTTTCCCCTCCAGGCCCTGGGGTAAACTGAGGCATGAAGTGGGGCAAAGGCTGAGCTCCCAGGTAGCCTCCCCTCCTCCTGGCGGTGATTTTCCTCTCCCCTCCCCCAGCTTCCCGGTCCTAGGCCCAGGCTGTCCCGATAGGCCGGAAGGGAGTCTTTCTGCTTGTTTCCGGGACTGGGTTTGGAGTAGGCAGGAAAGGCCCCTCCTAGGGAGGAAGGCACAAAAGGCTACTGCTTGGTGTGGGGGCAGGGGCAGGTGAAGTGAAGCCAGCCGAGGGCCAGCGCCTGTGCAACAGGCATCGACTCCCCCAGGGAGGTGACGCTGTACAAAAACCAAAGTTTTATTTTGAAGGTTACAAAACTCACACCAGGTCCCCAGTGCCAGGCTCTGCAGTGGCGGCGAGAGGTGGGATGGCGGTGAGAGGAGAGGCCACCTCAGGCTTTCACCTCGGTGCCCTTGCTTCTCCACACCACGAGGGTGACGAAGAAGGGGATGAGGCAGATGGGGGCTATGATCATGGCCAGAAGCACGTCTTCCGGGGGGTCGCAGAAGGTGGGCTGTTCCTGAGAGCAGTTGGCAAAGTGCAGCTGGTGGGTCTCGAAGATGATCCTCTCGGCCAGGGGGTTGGGGAAGCCCAGGCTGAAGGCTTCCGCCTCCACCTCCAGGCAGTCGCGGAGGGAGCTGTAGGGCCTGGGCAGAGAGGACGCGTGAGTGCCGGCACGTCCCCCCACCCGGCCCCAGCCCTGCCCCTGGCCCTGCCCGCCTACATGCTGATCACCGTCCAGTTGCACCAGTCCTTCTCCAGAGAGTCCATGCACTCCTTATATTCAGCCCAGCAAAGCTGGGCACTGGCCTCGTAGCTGTCCACCATCCTGCCTGTGGACACAACGTTGAGACCCATGCATCCCCCACGCTGTCTTCAAACATGCACGGCCCTTCCAGAGTGTCCCCCAACAAGACACTTCTGGCTGAGGGGAGCCCCTGGCGCTGGAGTCTTAATGACTTCCATGTGCGCATCCTCCAATCCCTCCACACCCATCCTCTCTGGAGTCTTCTCCCCCACCTGTCCGGAAGCCAGTCCAAGGTCGCACAGGGGCGCTGCAGGAGAGTGAGAAAGATCACAGGGAACCCCAAGAGAGAAAGGGGGCTTTTGGAAGGGCCAGGCTGGTGGGAAACAGCCCCCGGCCCTTGGGTACCCACCTTCTGACTTCGGGGAGTCGGTAGTGGGAAGAGGCTGGGCCAAGGTCTCGCGGGGAAGGAGGGAAGCTGCGGGAGGCAGAGGGGGGCAGCATGGGTGTGCGGGCTGCGCAGGGGCCTCTCGAGGGTGGGCGCTGGGACCTGGCGACCTGGAAGCTCAGGGTCCTCCAGGAGGAGGGGACCGAGGGGAGGGAGAAGCAAAGGGAAGCGGAGGGCTGCCCTGGCTCCCCGGCCCACCCTGGCCCAAAGCCCCGGCATCCTCGCTCGAGGTTCGCGGACAGTGCGGCCCTCCCGCCAGGGTCCCCCCATCCCCGCCGCCCGGGCCACCCTCCTCGCTCCCCGATCCCCGAGTCCCGGTCGCGCTCACTGCCCAGCGCGAGCAGAGCCAGCAGCAGGCGGAGGCGCGCGGCCATGGCGAGCGTCGGGCGCCCCTCTGTCCCGGCGGCGCAGGAAACCGCGCTTCCTCGCCGGCTGGGCGGCAGCGGCCACGTGGGGGGCGGGGGCCGGGCCTGCCGTGCGGGGTCCAGCCAGGAAGGGCGGAGCTGGAGCCGGCCTTTCCCCGGGACACGCACGGGTGTCAGCCGCACCCCAGAGGAGAGGTCGGCAGCCCCACCGAGCTGGGCAGAGGGGAAGCCCAAGCGTAGACACCTTTGCAGGGCCCCAGGGCCCCGACCACGGGCTGCGCCTGGGGACAGCCGGAGGACGGGGCTCCCAAGGATGGGGCTGCAGGGGGAAGCCGGGGTCAGGCCCCAGAGCCCTGGGGGCAGGGTGCGCTGCGCGTGCCTGCGTCGCGCAAGCAGTCGCTCACTAGGCACTGATCCTGGGGCCTGGCGCACACCGGTGCACAAGTGCCCCGGGACAGCTGCATGACGACCACCAAGCACAGAGCACGCCAGGACTCAAGCACAGAGCCCAGGACTGGGGTTCAGAAGCTCTGGGCCCCAGTTCTAGCTTCGTACTCCCCAGCTTTGCAGCCCTGAAGGTCGTTAGCTTTCTATAAAATTGAGGCCTCACCTCCTCCTTCCACCAGGAGAGGGTGTCCTGTGTGTGTGTGTGTGTGTGTGTGTGTGTGTGTGTGTGTGTGTGGCATCTCCCTCAGGGTGCATGCACTGCCCTTTTCCTTCGGCCCTTTGGGGTGACCCTAAAACAGATTCGGGGGCATCTCTTGCCCCGCCTCTGCACCTGGGCCTAGAGCTGCTGGAAGCGAGGCTGCTTGGCACGCCTATTGCTAGAAACGTGCTCAAGAGGGTGTCAGTGTGGGCAGGGACAGGACAACAGGGCTGGACTCCGACGGGGTATCCAAAGTGGAGAGAGCAAATGTTGGGTTCCAATTAGGACAGCCTGGCATAATGAATACAAAGCCAAATACTTTGTTAGAATTATTATCTTTTAATTTAATATAGGATCTCACCATGTAGCCCAGGCGGGCCTCAAACTCTCAGCGATCCTCCTGCCTCAGCCTCCTGAGTGCTGGGGCTGCCGTATACGCCAGCACGCCAAGCATACTGAAGGCAGTTTTTGTGTCATCTCCGTCCTGTCTGAGAGCTTAGGTGCATCAGTGCCAAGCTCCAGAGCTGAACATGTTCTTAGAATCAAAAAGGAAACTACGGGTTTTAAGCAGGGGTTGAGGGAAGCTTGTGTAGCAATTCGGCGCTCTGGAAGGAACAGCTTCTTCAAGCCATTCCTGAACTTCGCACTCCACAGCGTCAAGCTGGACGGGCTGGGGATTTTCTCTCCCGTGGCTCTTTTTCCTTCCACTCGTTTTTCCGTACCAGTTGGGTCTGGGTCCTTCCATTGACCCCTGGAGGCACTTGTTCACTTGAGGGTCTCCTCTGGGGGCTTCTTTGGGACTGGACAGGGCCTGAAGCCCTCATCTCCTCTTCCAGTGACACAGGAGTTGGCTGGTGACCTTCAGCAGCAGGCAGAGGGCCTCATGAGGAGCAAGGCCGCCCCTGCAGGGGTCCCCCCAAGGTCATTTCCTTCCCCTTTCCAAGTTCACTTCTATTTTTGGCATTTAAAACTGTGCTCCTTCCTGGTGTGGAGGTGCACGCCTTTCACTCTACCCAGTGCTCGTGAGGCTGAGGCAGGAAGATTGTTGAGAATTTGAGGCCAGCCTGGGCTACATGGTGAGACCCTGCCCCTCACAAAAACACAAAGTATTATAAGTACATGTGCTATAGCAGTTGTGGAACAATGTGTCTGGGGCATCTTTCTATAATCCTACGTAGAGATGTGCCCTTTCAACTTTGCCAGGCCAGGGATATAGCTCAGTGGCAGAGCGCCTGCCTGGCAAGTGCAAGGTCCCGAGTTTGATCGCTAGTAACAAGAAACAAAACAAGGGGGCCGGGGAGATGGCTCAGTAGAATAAGCGCTTGCCTGGCAAGCACAAGGGCCTGATTTAATCCCCGTTTGTGCAAAAAAAAAAAAAAAAGAAAAGAAAGAAAAGAAAAGAAAAAAGAAAGAAAGAAAGAAAAGAAACAAGACAAAAAACAGTTTTAACCTTGCCAAGGTGTTGGCTTGTCTCCTCTAAGCCTCCTCATTCCTCTGCACCCATTTAACCACCCCCCCAACCAGTGCTTTAGGAAGGAGGAGCTGGCGCAGCCAGAGGAGGACCGGAGGTGTCTCTCCTGGAGGCGGCCCCGGTGCTCCTGAGCAGGTGTGCTGCTGGAAGTGAGGGGCGAGCATGCCCCGAGGGGCGGTGGATAGGGGCGTGCAAACCCCTTGAAGGTGCACATGTGCCCCGCAGCCCCTGCTGACACGCCCCGCCCCAGGCCGAGGCCGGCACCAGGGCAGTCAGAAGCACCCCGGCCTCCTAGACTGCACGGCTCCACACGGCCTGCTGTGAGTTCACACAGCTGGCCTCGGCCCAAATGCCTGTGAAGAGGACCAGGGGCCTAGGACTGGGGGAGCCAGAGCTGGGGGAGCCGGGCTTTGCCAGAGGGAGGAGGTGGCTAGGAGCGAGGGAGCCGCAGGCTGGAGCCAGCTGGCCAGGACAGAGCCTCTCTGCTCCAGAGCCGCCGCCCGCCCACCCCCGGGAAACCAGCCACTGGCGAGCACCCTGGCTCTGCGCTGCTACTCATCGACGCCTGAGAATGTAACAGTCGGTGTTATTTGTTGAGCACTCACTAAATGCTGCTTTCTGTGTGCTCTGACACCCGTGCTAAGTGCTCTGTACGTGTGTAACAAACCCAGGATGCACGCTCGACCTGAGCCACACTCCCAGCCCCCTCATACACATATTTGCAACCTCCCACTCTGGCGCCAGCTTTATCCTCTCCGTGGAGAAATGAGTGGGGAGCGAGAGGTCCCAGAGCTGGGAAAGGGCAGAGCCAGGCCTGGGGCCCAGGGTGACCTGCTGCTAAGGTTCATAGCTTTTTTTTTTTTTTTTTTCCCCTGGTACCAGGAATCAAACTCAGGACCTCACGCTTGCCAGGCAGGTGCTGTGCCACTGAGCTAAAGCCCCTGCCCTCAGGTTCATTTCTTAACCACCTGTCTTGATCTTTGACTCCACCTTCTTGCTCCAGATCAGAACATGATCCTTTTGAGGAGCTCGGGATTAAACTCAGCCTGGTTACACTACACAGTGCTCTATTGAGCGACCCTGGTGCTGGTGCTGGGCCAGGAGAGGAAGAGGGGATAGGCTCTTCCAGGGCCTCCTGGACCCGCCTCCCCCTGAATTTAGCCAATCCCAGGACAAGCCCGCAAGCCTCTTCCCCTCGCCCTCCTGGAGCCTGAGGTCGTGTAGCAAAGGGCGTTGAGACAGCGTGACTGGGACGGCCGAGAGACCAAGGCACCCACCCAGCCTCGCCGAGAGCACAGCCTGTCTCTCGGCATCTGGGGTTGACTCACAGCTGCTGCGGGGACCCCGGGCTAGGCGCCTCCCAGGCTGCCCGAGAATCATGCCTGGGACCCCGCGGCTCCATGCCCACGCTCTGCCGGGGGAGGCGGTGCACTCAGCCCGCGCCATGCTTCCTACACACCTACATCCCAGAGCCCTGGGCTGGGGAGAAAGCTCGGCCATCTAAGCGCCTGCCTGGCAAGCGCAAGGACCCTGAATCGACCCACCAGCCCTGGAACCCTGGGCGGCGCACGTCTGTAATCCCAGTGCTGGGGAGGCTGAGATAGGAGGAGCACTGGGAGTCTCAATTGAATAGTGAGAGCCTGTATCAAACAAATAAAATAAAAATAACAGTTAAAAATTTATGGGGCCAAGGGGCCGGGGAGATGGCTCAGTGGAATAAGCGCTTCCCTGGCAAGCGTAAGGGCCTGAGTTCAATCCCCGGTTCTGCCAAAAAAAAAAAAAAAAAAAAAAAAAAAAATTTATGGGGCCGGGGAGATGGCTCAGTGGAATAAGTGCTTGCCTAGCAAACACAAGGACCTGAGTTCAATCCCCGGTTCTGAAAAAAAAAAAAAAAAATTAAAAAAAAATCCCAAGGCTCTATTACAGTAAGAGTCAAAGCAACCCATTTCACAGGGGAGGAAGCAGCCTCGGCAACCCCATGCCGCTCGATTAAGGTCCTGTAACCAGCACTGCCAGATCCCCAGGTGGTGTGATGCTGACACCTGAGCCCTGAACGTCCCCTCTGTGACACATGGAGAAGGTGAGGCAGACAGGCTGGAAGGACAGCTGGGCGCTGAAGACCTTCCTCGCCCAGGCTGTCCCAGCCCGCTGTTTGTTCTCACTAAGGCCTCTCTGCGTGTCCTTCCCCTAAGGAAGACCTTAACAGAAGGTGTGCTGATGCAGGCCTGCAGCCCTACCTACTGGGCACGGAGCAGGAAGGCCCCAGGGTGAAGCCCAACCTGGGCAATTTAGCAACTTAATGAAACACCCGGTCAAGACAAACTCAAGCCTAACCCAACCCAAGGGCTAGGGATTTAGCTCAGCGGCACACCTGCCTGGCAAGCGCAAGGTCCTAAATTCGATTCCTGGTACAGAAAAAAAGAAAACTAAAAGAAATAAAGCACTTAGCAGGGCAAGGGGGCACATGCTTATAGTCCCACCACTCTGAGGCCAGCCAAGGCAATTCAGTGAGACTTTGTTTCCCAAAAATAAAGCCAGGGAGATAGCTCAGTAGAATAAGTGCTTGCCTGGCAAGAGCAGGGTCCTGAGTTCAATCCTCGGTACTGCAAAAAAAAGTAGGAGAGCTAGGAATATGGCTCAGTCTCAGAACACCCCTGAGTTCAATCCTCAGTACCATAAAAATGGGAGGGAAATAGGGAAGGAGAAGAAGAGAAAAAGATGAAGGGGGAGAGAGAGAGAGCGAGAGAGAGAGAGAGCGAGAGCGAGAGCAAGAGCGAGAGCGAGAGAGAGAGAGAGAGAGAGAGAGAGAGAGAGAGGAGCGCACAAACTGAAAGCAGAATGTGGTCCACGTCGGTGTACAATGATGTCACGCGCTGCTCTCCGGTCCCATGCACAAAGCCCCCTGGCACTGTGTCTCATCCAGCCCCAGGGCTCCCTTAGCTGTATGTCACTTCGTACC